CAGGTCTCCATTCAAAGTTCCATGGTAAGTTGGATGGACTTCCCTGGTCAGTCACGACCATTCGGTGCGCTTTGCCAGACTGGTGCAGCTCATGCGGCATCTTTACATAAAATTTTCCCAATAACCGGATTGCGGAGACACATGATAGTTGTCAGTTAGGTGCAGCCTGGAGATGTTGCCAACTCACTGGCGATTACGTTCGGCTGTGCCTCCACGAGGTCTAACGGAACGTCATCTTGTGCTGGCGGGCCACCTATACGTTGCTTACCTTCGAATAAAATAACTCCAGCTTGCAAGAGCTGATACAAACGGGACACAGTGACATGGCAAGCACATCCTCGCTGAAGACAAGACAGGTGTGTCCCCCCTCGAATACGACAAAGTGGCCCGTAATATGAAATAGGTCGGAAAGCATTTTGACCTTTGGTGTCTTTTAAGCACTAAAAGTCTCCACAAAGCCATAATATACCCGTCTGCAAATACCCCAGAGAACACTCTTCCTTAATCGGGAGTAAGAACATTGAAAATGTTTTGTTTTTTTCCTATATTTCCAGGATTTTTCCCGAGTTCATATTTCCACAGAATTTTGAATTCCCGCCAGATTCACAACCGTGCTCCATTCGCGGTGGGCGGGGCCTGCGATCGATAGCACTTTCGACGACGCCGTTGCGCGGAGATTTTCGATTGTGCGCATTTGTTGCGGTCGTTGGTGTGAGTGGACTTGTGGCAGAAGCAGGAGGTAGTTTCAGTTTATCCTTTCACGAACGTTGACAACAATGGCCGATGATGCTGGATTCGATGTGGACGATATGCTGGAGAATGCGCTCGAGTCAAAATCGTCAGAGGTAAGCGTGCATAAGGAGGACGAGTGTGGACTAACACGTTTTTTTTTTCTAAAACAAACTGTCAAATAACTAAGAATGAGCTTTAAACATTTTGTCACGCCATCTTAACAATTTGTAAGAAATGCGAAAAATGTCTGGTATCAGGGCTGTTTTGCACCAAAATTGCTCCCGGATAACTAAGAACTGGAGTTTTTTTTCCTGATGCTCTGGAAAACCTATCGAATACGAGGATTTTCTTTAGGCTCCTTTCACGCCTGGCTGCCGTGCTTGCAACTGTGTGACAAACAATATAGAACTTTTGTAGTACCGGGAATTAAAGTGTTATTTCTAACAGGCTACTAGGGTTCCCTGCCGCTGATCAATATTTTTGATGCCCTCATAAGTAAATAGAACATTAGAGATGCGGTGATTTTGCTGCTCTTAGTGAATGGCTCTTTCAGCGTAGCTATGAAAACGAAAGTGAAAGTAATGGCTTTCCCCGATGATTCTAGGAAAGTTCATCTTTTTCTTCTACTTTGTCCCAACCTGTGGTGGGGTAGGCTTTTCTTATTTTGTGTCGCCACTTCTCGAATGCCTCATCGGGATGGCTGCCAACTACCTTTAGGTTCGAATTATAAAACAGGTCGCCAGCAAACACTTTGAAATCTTTTCCGATTGAATGCGTTGTTGTGCCTGTAAGAAGAAAATTTATTTCGGGTTCAGGTTTTTGTTCACACATCTGTCCAAGATAATTTCTGAGCTCTCTAGAGCTTATTTTTTTATCTCTCCTTGATTTTGAGGGTTCAGAAGCAAATGAGGTGAAGAAATTGGCCTCATTGCTAAAAATAACCATGCCGTTTAGAAAGAGTTTTGTCGTGAAATAGTCTCTATGGCGTCCGTTATAGAAAACCCAACATATGTTGAAGCTTACTTCGAAAAAAAAGCTTAAAGCCGAACGGTGTTCTTAGATTGGACCTTTATTAGACCTACCTTCCTGACCTTTCTGTATTCTCCAGAGGCCTGAAAGTGCTTAAAACGGCTTTTTAGGAAGCTTTGAGCCTTTCAGGCTTCTGAAAAGACAAGAAGGTCGAGAGGTCGGGACATAAAGAAATTCCATTTGACAACCTCGTTTAGCAGTCTTTGTCTACTCACCGTTACATGTTCAAGTTATTTTTGCAGCTGTTTATTACGATGACCTCTGTTGGACGCCGCAGTTCGCGCTCTTAAACTCATCACGAGAATACTGAGTCATAAGGGCCCGTCCTGCAGTTGTGGAACATTTTTGCAAAGTTCTCCCCCTTTCAAAAATTGCTCCTCGGGAGTAACACCCATTCCCATTCTGTCTACCGTCTCCCTAAATCTCTCACCTCTCTTCCAACAACTGAAGCTTTTTTCCCAGAGGCCAATACGATCCTCAATCTAGGGGCCAAATGCTATCCTACTCGCTTTGAGATTTCCATCCTACGGTGCGCCCTGTGAGTCATAGACAAGAGTGCCAACACAGTCGGAGTCGGAACCTCCCCCCCCCCTCCCCTTCAAGCGCTTTCAGGGCTAGTGCACTATCCGTTACGCCACCATGCCATTTTCACAACGTTAAGCAGTAAAAGAGTCTCAAAGGAAGTTACTCGTTTTTCGAGCTGAAAAAAAAAAATTGTACTAAAATTGTAGTGTACTCATTTAAGGAGGGATTTTCACTTCATTAAGATAACAACATTCCAGATCTCGCAGGTGAGGAGGGTGTGGCTGTATGCTTCATTGCGCTTCGCCGGGATATTGTTGTCTTGAGACAATTCATCCTGTTTTCTTCGTGAGAAATAAAGGATGGCAGATGTCTCGAATAGAAATAATAGAAATATTTCACGAAATAGGCATCCTATGTGGCGTTTGAATGAAGTATGCAGCCATGCCCCCACCTCTCTCGGGAAACCTCTTCTCAGCATATCGGTTAACCGTGAAGCCTTCTTCCCTCCTTTTTTTTTCTTCTTTCCTTTTCCATCTTCCTTTCACTGCCGTCTTCGTTGTGTTCCCTCCCTTCAAACGTTCCTCAGAAAGTTGCCACGAGATGAATACTTGGACCCCCCCCCAACCACGAGGGAACATTCGATCGACAGCCTGCCGGGGCAGCTGAGGTAGCTCGATTTGTGTATGAGAAATATTGGTTTCTGGACGGTACAGGTTTACTTTTCCGTAACGATCATGCCACCCCTAGCACTTCATCATGGTGAGCTGTTGCAAAAACAGCGATTACAAAAGAAGGCCGGCTCAGTGATAGACCAGAAACATAGTTTGTGGTCTTTTAATGAAGTTCTTCAAACTGTAGTAAAAGTGAAGTAAAGGTGGAACGGTGTACTTACATTTATTTCCTTTTTTTTCTGAGTAGTTTTAAATTTTCTTTTTGCAGACCAGTGAGCCGCGACACCATAACCCAAAAAACGGCGGACTACAGAGAAGGATAAGGACAAAGGACAAAGAGAACCGGTTCATCAAAGAAAGAAAACGAAGAACTCGAAGCAAGAGTCGTTCGCCACGGTAAGGGAATTTGGGTAACGGCATGACCCTGAAGGCCTATAATTTTTGCACCTGATCATGGGTACAAGCTTAGGAACCACCCAATAATATTAATTCAGTTGCAGTATAGTAGGGAGCGGACAATGATGTAGTAGCCCATAAAAATTTCTTTTGATGAGACGGTTTTCTAAATTTTAGTGCCGAAACACTGTAAGTGTCTGTCGGAGGGTATAGTCTTGTTCGCTGCAGATGAGGGGCGTATCAGGTGTGCTATTATGCGGCTATGTCATCCCCTTCCTTTTTTCTTTCCGTCGACGAAGAGACCTTGTACCAATTAACGTTCCAGCAGGTGCCTTTCTACCAGACTATTGTCCAGGCAGTTGTGGTGAGACGGGCTGGAGGCGCGCCAAATCCAGCCTCACGCACTGTCATTCTCAGCGAACAAGACTGTGTGACCAGAGACTAGTTCTGAAGTTTTTGCACTTTTTGAGCTTCACGTAGCGTAATCTCACGATCAGAGCAAAATATTTCCATTAAGTCGCTTATTTGGCCACGTTCATGTTTGTGCAAATCTAAGGAACCACGCATTGGGAGAGTGTGCGCCAAAGGAAAGGATGGAAATTGAATGATTCAAGCCGCTAGCGAACTGGCAAGACTCTGGTCCCCGTGAATCGCGGATTCTCCCACTTCGCAGCTGAGCGAAGTTCCCATGTAATCCTTCAGCGCGCACTCTTCCGATTCGCGTATCCTACTGATTTGTGGATTCGCATCAGGGCACGGTCGTATGTTGGGAAAAGAGGAGGAGAGGTGTTGTTTTAGCTATTTGGAAGGAGGGATAACATTTGCTTTTCAAGACTATGTTTCTGGTTGCTGACTTTTTTCGAGTTTTTTGTTTTCTCTTTCTACGTGCGCTATACTCCCCCCCCCCGAGCCAGTTTTCTTCGAAAAGCGCGTAGGATCAATGAAGAATACTGCGTATCGATAGGGTAATGACAATGGGGATTCCTGTCGTAGTGGGAATTTTGAGGGGACAGGGGTTGGTATTTTGATGAAAAATTTACCCCAACGGCAGGACGTGCCCTGGTTTGCATCCATAATCGCACATTATGAACGTGGCTTTAGAGAGAGGAGGGGCGGTTAGTTTTGGCCAGCTAATCACGTATGTTATATAGCTTGTAGCGATTTGATAGCTTGTGTTGTTTGTTAGAGCGTAATAGTTTTGAAAAGTTACCACGTTCTGAAGCCCAGCCGGGATTTTCAGTCTAGATGTTTCCCTCATTTGACGGAAAGATCTCTGCACCTCACTGTAGAATAGCTCGCAGAGGGGTTCTGAAGGTAGCATTAATCAGCACAGGGATCGGATCAAATTGATTGTTGCGGGAATAACGCTCTAGACCTCCATCAGTGGGCTTTTGTTCAGTTGAGGCTAAAATGTATAAAATGTAATGGTGTGATATTATTATATATACTAAGACTTGCCCGTCGTTGTAGACGATATTCCGAACGCGCATGGATTTGTGACCGGCATACGTGCGTTAACGAAAGTCGATCCCTCACCGTATTCTCAAGGAAAAGGTTAGCGGCGCGTGACAATGCAATGCGGCCATCAAACAACGAGCCAATCGTTCGCTATGTCAGTGTTATCTCGTTCAATTCTTTACATGCCCGATGGAGTCTTTCCGAGCAGACCACGCTTGTGAGGTTCTGAAAGACCCTAAATATGTTAGTGTCAGTGAGCATCAGAATTTTCATCAGTAACCGTTAGCCGTGAACAGCAACCTGTGAATTCCTAAAAGTCCGCGTTCAATTTCGTGTTCGGATTGATTGGCCACGACGTGGACCCGTACCGCTAAAGCAGTGTCACATTGGAGGAACCCAGCATTTCTCTAGTAAAGAAGGCGACGGTTCGGCGGAGCCTTTCGATATGTATCGATTTGGCCGAATGGGCGCAGAGATCCGGCGTTGGAGAAACGCTTTTGATACGTATCGATGGCGGTTCGGCGGTGCGGTTGGGCCAAGAACGTTAGCTCAGCCGCCCCGGCCTTTTTCTCTAGGGCGGAGCCAGCGAAATCAATACGCATCTTTTGCTTTCGCCACGTGCGGCGGCGTTCTCCAGGCATTTGGCGGATTCTCCGGGTCGATACGTATTTTCGCTTTTCCCCCGAACCGCTGTTTCGTCAAAAGTCGCAGACTGTGAACAATGCCTAAATGATGCACCGTCACAACGGCACACTTCAAATTGGTGCTGTGCGGACAAGGCCAACCGAACTGTGCCGTTGCGACGGTGCATCGCTTGACGTTAGAGCGCCCTGTCCTGGTCGCTCCAATCCAACCGGTCGCAAAGTATGAACGCCGTTCAACACTTAGCCCGCTTGTACTATTTCAGAGCCTCACACGGGTTTAGGCGTTTTCATTTGGTGAGTCTCACAGTTAACGTGAACTATCAAAAGGGACCAACTACAAGGGAAACCTCTCCCTTTCTTTATCGAACAACGCTTGTTTTCCTGTATAAACTCATCTGAGTTAGGACCTTCCGCTTTTATTCAGCACCTGTAACCCTTCCTATTGAATTTATGGGCTTGCTTATAGTAAAGCATGAGGAGGGTTAGTGAGCACTTTCAAAGGATTCGCCAATGACTTCGCCTTCGTGATACTCGGTGCGAATGTGAAAAACTGACGAACATAGGTACCTAGCGGCTGTGAGCCGGTAAAAGTGAACAGTTGGTTCGGGCCATTGTTGCAGGCTCTTGGCGCGAAGCTCACAAGCCGTCTCATGGAAAACCCCCGACGATCGAGGATATTTCTGGATTTTCAGATTCTACTGGTTTCAGGATGAGGCTTTCATTTTATTCATTTAGCATAGCCACTATATTCTAGGTCGCGAAGTCGTGATCGTAAGAAGCGTAAGCGCAGTTCTAGCCGCGACAGGAAACGTAGTTCGAGCCGAGATCGTCGTCGTCGTCGTAGTCGATCGAAGTCTCGTGATCGTGATCGTAAGCGCAGTCGAAGCAGGGATCGCAAAAGGGAAAGAAGCAGATCACGCGAAAGGAGACGTTCGAGGTATGTCGTTTTATGGAGCTTAAACGCAAAAGGCACGATAAATCCCCAAGACATGTAGGATATTACATCTAGCAGGACAAATTGTCGCCCCTAAACAAGCCGCAACATACCGACCCTGACGCCCACCGCGTCTGCCCGCCCACAAATGGATCACTGTACCTGGTGCTCGTAGGTTCCTTACGAAGTAAAATATGAAGCGGAGGGGCTGATATGAAGCGGCTGTGGTGCTGCATGGATTTATGAGTACCCTCGTGAGCCGTATCTAGCGCTTATTGGCATGATGGCAACGGGAAACTCGTCCAGAATTGCTTCCTGAGTCGTACAAAAAAGCTTTTACCCTCCAGTTCGCTGCGGACGGTTGGGCGTGTCAGGCAGTATGAGTGTGTCACCCCGTCAAAGCCGTTCTCTGCCTTCTTGTTGAAGCGCGCATGCGACAAAAAGTGGTAGAAAACGAGTAATACGAACGATATGATACAGTCATATCATTTGCTCGCTTAACAACTGGTGGAGAACGGGTTTGGCACCGCGCCAAACTCATCCCGCCTGACACGCCCAACCGTCCGCAGCGAACTACACTGTAGTAGATTATGACCATTTCACTTCGCTTTTTCGCCATTTTCCCCACTATATGGCACCCATACTATCATTTTAGACCAAGTACCTGATTATCGTGCTTTGTGCTCTCAGCTGCCTTTTTCTGCTGAATATCGAGATCCATTTCCTGATTCTTTCATGTTTAGATCTCGTTCGCGTGATCGTCGCCGTTCATCAAGGGATCGTCGTCCGTACCGTGATCGTGACCGTCGTTCTCGATCTCGTCCTCGTGTCATTGACCATCGTGATCGACGTTCGCCAATGCGGAGATCGCCACCGCAACGAAGTCATTTTCCTCCTTCTAGAAGCAAGATATTTCTAATTGAATATACAATATATAGGATAATATAATATGAGCTACTTCTACGAAAGTGTCTATTATTTCAGATCGTCTTCCCGGTCCGGAGCGACGTGATGTTATGCCATTCACAGCACGGAATTCTCCACCACGTGGTGCAAAACTGGACATGAGTGCAGAGGAAAGAGATCAAAGGACATTGTTCATTCTACAGGTGAGTGAGAATGAACCAGACCACGACACTTCAGCTGTTACTGCCGCGGATCCTTAAACAGGTTTCGCGAGAACTTTGTCTATAGAAGTCATTTGCTGCTGAGATCTCAAGTATGATATACTTCTCTGAGGAGGGCGCTAGTATCTGTTGCCACGAAAGAGCGAATTTTTCATCAAAGATGACGTAGAGTTACGTAGAAAATCTGTTTGACTTCCTGGTGACGAGGTTCGTTTTTAGAGCGGAGCCGTTTGGCACCAGCATCGTGACTGCGCTATTTTAGCACTAAATTTTGTGGAAATTTTTCTCCACAAAATTCGCTATGGACTCGCATTTAGTAATGGATTGTAAACACGAATAGTTATTTCTGGCGTCGCTACCATTCGACCCCACTTCGGCGCCGCTACTTTTCGCCACCTGTGACATGCGACATTGCGTGTGATGTTAGATTCTGCTGGTGAATATTCATTTCCTTTAGCCGTTAAAATTGGTCTCTTATTCTTGACTGGGTGACCAAATAATTTTGTGAGCAAAGGGCCAGGGAAATTAAATTTCGAGGGTTTTGAGTAGTAAATGTTGGATAGTTTTGAAATTTGCACTCGATACATGTCACGCAAAAGCTATTAGTGCAATTTAAGACGTTCTTTAGTCCGTACAGTAGATTACCTCCTTCGTTGTGTTCCATAACGGGAAGGTGGCTCCCAGGCCACGTCGTACCTTAGGGAACTGGGAGCATTAGTCGGAAAATGGAAAAGTTTGGGAGCATGATCGATAGGATGTAGGATAGGGGAGGCAGTCGTACTAGAGGAAGAAATTTCGAGAGGGGGATCGTATTTTGCGAAAAGATTCCTCAAGACAGAACGTGGCCTAGTGGATTCATCGGAAATGGCCATTGATTGCCTTTGTGCGCTGAAACTGACTTTTGTTTAACACGTTCCGGACCGCGTGAGACACATGGTGTGTCATGATTTTGTCCCTATGCTGTGCTTTATTTTAGTAATTTGGCTTTTCATTCATGTTCTGAAGTTGTCAAAACACGTTCTCAATCACGGGAAATGCTTACCTCATGAGCGGCTGAAAAAATGGAGGAAGATTACAGACGAATTACTGATGAAAAATGATTAAATATTCCGGAGATGCGCGCAGTACGCCGGTCCTCAATGTGTTAATTATCAACCTGTAAGAGACGGTAGAGCGTGAGGCTGCTTTCTGAGGCGCATGTGAGGTCTGGTGTTCTGCCTCATTCATTATTGTTTTAGATAGCTCGACAAACTCGACCACGTGATCTCGAGGAGTTCTTCAGTGCTGTGGGTAGTGTACGAGATGTGCGAATTATCACTGATTCACGAACAGGACGATCAAAAGGAATTGCCTACGTCGAATTTTGGGAGGAGGAAAGTGTTCCTCTTGGATTAGCGCTCAGTGGACAAAAACTCTTAGGTTAGTATTTATGCTGTTTATTTCTCATGAAACTGTAATGGTCAAATTTTATTTCTTTTCATTTCAAAGTTCCTTTGCTGTTTTTAGGTGCTCCTCTTGTGATCCAACGCACATGTGCTGAGCGTAATCGAGCAGCCAATGCAACGATTGGCACTTCGCTTGGATTTGGTCCAGCGCCTTCAAAGGTTTGTTGTTTGCTTTTTTCGTTCTGGTACAATTGTATTTGGAAGAAGAGTTGACCAGACTAATCGTCCTTCCGAAATCTTTACTTACAATATCTTGATGGATCGCATTTAAGGGACCATGTAAGCTCCATGTGTCGCATCTACATCCAAATATCACGGAAAGTATGCTCGATGGTATTTTCGATGCGTTTGGACGTGTCGAGAAGATTGAAGTAGTCAAAGATCCCGCTGGAAACAGTATGGGCTATGGTTTCGTGACGGTAAGTCTCTCTTTATTCCTATATTTTCAGACTCTTTCTTTTTCTTGTTGTTCGCACTATAGTAACACTTAGTTTTCTTGCTCGAT